GGCATGTAGCCATGTATTTGCCATGACGTGGGTCACACTTAGCCATCATTGACGTCGGTTCAAAGGCACTATTCGTGATCTGAGCAACCGACAATTTCTCGTGATACGCTTTTTCCGCTGAGATCACAGGAGCGTACGAGCTCAGCATAAAGTGGATTCGAGGATATGGCACCAAATTTGTCTGGAACTCAGTAATATCAACGTTAAGAGATCCATCAAAGCGAAGTGAGGTCGTTAGTGACGAGATCACTTGCGCAATGAGACGATTGAGGTTCGTATATGTTGGTCGCTCAATATCCAGGGATCGACGACAAATATCGTAAATAGCTTCATTATCTAGCATCACAGCAATGTCTGTGTGTTCGAGAAGAGCGTGGGTTGAGAGTACTGAATTATAGGGTTCGACGATCGCTCCAGATAATAGAGGAGACGGGTAGATGGTAAACCCAAGTTTGCTTTTCCGTCCATAATCGACTGATAGACGCTCCAGTAGTAGGGAGCCAAAGCCGGATCCAGTGCCTCCACCTACTGCATTAAAGACCATAAATCCTTGTAAACCAGTACATGCATCCGCAAGTTTTCGGATTCGATCCAGCACTTGGTCTACAACTTCTTTGCCGATTGTGTAGTGGCCACGAGCGTAATTATTAGCGGCATCTTCTTTGCCAGAAATTATCTGCTGCGGGTGGTAAAGCTGACGATAGGTACCAGTACGGATTTCGTCGCAAACTGTGGGCTCTAGATCCACAAACACAGCACGCGGCACGTATTTGCCCGATCCTGTTTCTGAGAAAAAGGTAGAGAACGAGTCATCATCACTCATAGCACTCGAGTCGCTGAGAATCCTTCCATCGGGCTGGATACCGTGCTCGAGACAGTAAAGCTCCCAGCAAGAATTACCGACTTGAATACCACCTTGGCCTAGATGAATGGACAGAATTTCACGCATGTTGAAGTTGATGTAAGGTGACAAGATGAAGTGCGAAGTTGGACAATTGGACAATGGAAAAGCTACATGGCAAGGTGCACGGTTGCCGGTTGCAGAGCGATTTTAGGAATTTTATATAGATGGATTGGTGGTACAAAGGGTGGGTAGCTTTTGTATAGTCATTCCGTGGTCGACTTCAGCATCTGTGCGTCGGTGACAACGCAAACTCAGGACGTGAAGGAATGGATATTTATACTGTATGAAAAACTACTTACCTTTTTAAAAGTGATATACTACATATGTGACATACCTACGTAGAATATTATGATAACCAACCTCTCATACTCTTGCTCTTGTTAAAAATTGATATTACAATACATACTATTACCGCTAACAGTAGACTACTATCGCCAAGAGCGACAGGACACTGAGACAAAATCTGGCTGCGACTTGGCAAATTTGCCAGTATCATTGGCTAAAATCTTCTATCTCCGCATCCAAAGGTCAATCAAACATTCAAATCCCCTCCCTTTCCCGCCTCCGTCGCTTTCTCCCTCATTCCCCAACTCGACTGCAAACGCCCTCACAACGTTTCCAGTCGTCTAGGAACCTCACCCATCCACAGCCCAAAAACACACACGAACAGCACATAGAATTACTATGCGTGAAATTCTTTCAATTCATCTCGGCCAAGGCGGTATTCAAGTCGGTAACGCATGCTGGGAGCTGTACTGTCTCGAGCACGGCATTCAACCTGATGGTCAGATCCCGAGCGACTCAAGTGCTATGGGCGACGACTCGTTTTCTACCTTTTTCTCAGAGACAGGATCTGGAAAACACGTGCCGCGTGCTGTGTTTGTGGACTTAGAGCCCACAGTCTGCGACGAAGTCCGCACTGGTACCTATCGTCAACTTTACCACCCGGAACAGATCATTTCTGGCAAAGAAGATGCCGCTAATAATTACGCTCGTGGCCACTATACAATCGGCAAAGAAGTTGTAGACCTTGTGCTTGATCGTATTCGTAAACTCGCTGATGCTTGTACTGGTTTGCAAGGATTTATGGTCTTCAATGCAGTGGGTGGCGGTACTGGCTCAGGTCTAGGCTCTTTATTGCTAGAGCGCTTATCAGTTGACTATGGACGCAAGAGTAAGCTTGGCTTCACCATCTACCCTTCGCCTCTTGTCTCATCAGCTATTGTCGAACCGTACAATTCGGTGTTGTCGACACACTCGTTGCTGGAACATACCGACATTGCTGTAATGTTGGATAATGAAGCTATTTACGACATCTGCCGTCGCTCGCTGGACATTGAACGACCGACGTATTCAAATCTTAATCGTCTCATTGCGCAAGTCATCTCGTCGCTAACGACCTCACTACGCTTTGATGGATCTCTAAACGTTGATATTACCGAGTTCCAGACAAATTTGGTGCCATATCCTCGAATCCACTTTATGCTGAGCTCGTACGCTCCTGTGATCTCAGCGGAAAAAGCGTATCACGAGCAATTATCGGTTGCTGAGATCACGAATAGTGCCTTTGAG